GCACCAGAGCTGATTAGACACAAGTTAGAAATATTTTGCATTTCCATCATTGTTGTTCTAGTGAAAGCAGGCAGGAGGATTGCTTGATTAGAGCATGGTGGACTGAAGGTCAGGGGAACCCATACCCGACCTGGTTTTTGTTTGCCGACAACTCCCACACAGCACTAATCTACTTTTGTCTCACACTTTTCAGTAACAACCAACAGCTGCTGTTTGGAAGAACTCAGATGCAGATTCCTCAGTGTGCCTCGGTTTGGTTTTGTCTTGTATTTTTACACACACAGATACAGTGATACTCATTCTCAAAAGCACATGCACCCAGTGCTTGAAGTAGGCGGAAGTGCCCTGCTCTCCTTTCTCACTTGTTTTGGGGGGAGGTGGGGGTCAGGAACTTTATCTAGGCTACAGCTAGCAAATATACTGTAGCTTCAAATAAAATGTAGGCCTACATGATGTAAAAATTATAATCACAGTGTTAGTTTATTCATTACAGGCTTTCACAGCGGGTAAAGTCAAAACGCTGCACAGCCTGCCATCAGTTCTGTGTGCTGCTATCATGGGGCAGCTCACGTTGGGAGTGGAAATGGTATGATCCTCTTTAGGGGTGTGTGATATCAAATTAGATGCCGTTCAAAAGGGACAAGTCGCATACTTTCTCTGAAAACTACAGGTACTGCAAAGACTTTAATCCCGCAAGTGGGCCACAAAACAGTGGCTCCTGTGCCCTGGTGTCAAACTTTGTGTTTTTAGTTAAACTTGTCTGTAGTTTGTTTTATGATTAGAATTAATATAAGAAAACTGATTATGATTATTTGGGACCACCCAACCATGAATTTTTGTCTCTACTGTGGGTGCTCAGGTCTCTTTTGATGGAGCTCAGCTAGTCCCCCAACCCCCTGCCCGACTCCCATGCTGTAGGTGGCAGAAAGCTCCTAAACTGCCCATTCTGACTGCAGCTTCATGTCATCGCCCCTTCATCCCATCATCTCCTGTTGACTGCTGTCCAGGTGCATACCGGTACACAGTCCTCATACCTAAGAAAATATGGGCTACTTGACCATTTCATTTGACCAAATGACTGAATACAAAGCCAGTGCATATCAAGTGTCAAAGTCAGATGCTTGATATGCATAACTAAGAACCCCAAGTTTTTGAGCACTGCAATGTCATTTTTTTTTTGCTTTTGAGAGAGGGCAGTAATTCCACACTTGTCAGGAAAACATCCTGTAGGTCTTTTCAATATTTGACAAGGCAGATACTGTTGTTTTTCTAGTGATGACAGTCCAATCAAAGACTAATCCTGCTGTCTTTGTTATTTATTACAAAACTCATATTTAACTGCTATATTTCATTACATGAAGTGCATTGGTGCTGACCACTTTGCAGTGCAGGCTGAAACTTGTAGATTGGTTTCTAGACTAACAGTGGTTTCTTTTAGTCAGCCATGAAAATCAACTTGAGCATTGGTTGAAGCAGATATTTTATCACTGTAACCGTCCATTTGTTTTTGTGTGAAGGGTGTGGTGTGGTCACCCACAAGAAATGTTACAAGCTGGGGGACTCCTTGGACTTCTTTCCTATTGTGTGCATAGCTACTCGAAATGTATAGATGTTCTCTCATTTTAGGAAAATCATTCTCATGATGACAACCAGGACAAAATGCCCTCCAGACTTGTCTTTTTGAGTTTGATAAATACCTTCTCACTCTCTTTTCCTCTCCACCTCATCCTCTGTTAGTGTGTGTTGCACCACAGTATTCGGTTGATTTTGCCTCAGACTGAGCAGCAGGTGTTTGCCAGGTGAAACAGTGACACATGGATGCGCCCTGTCAGACTACTGATTAGAGACTCTGCTCCTCCTTTGTCTCTTCATTTAGAGGAGAGAAGAGTGCGCACACACACATACCTGTATATAAGTGCACAAGGCAGCAGGTGGCCACTATCAGCTGGACAAATCAAAGCAGGCCTCATCAACACCAATTCAGTGGATGGATGCAGGAATGAAAAAGAATTTAAAAAGTGTTTTCAAGGACGACTAGAGTTCTGAGGTGGTTTGATATATTTGTCCTTCAACCTTTGTGCTTCTGTTTGTGACATTCATGCCAGTAAAATGAATGTACATATAAAAAAGACAAAGTAAAAAGTGACAAGTGTGACTGAAGCTTTTTTTTGTGATTTCAGACTGAATTACAGCATTTCATTGCTCTGCTGAATCCCACATTAATACTGAGTATAACAAAAGATCATTTACTGTAGTATGAAATGGAATTCATAGATGTATTGTGCACCAAGTCAAACATGTTTAAGTCAAGTTTGGAAAAATACACAGATACACAAATGTATTTCTGCAGCCCCAAAGGCTAAATTATGATTATGAAGTCAGGCTCCATGGGTTAAAACTACATCATGGCAAAACATGATGATAGTTTAGGTAAATTAATAGGGGATGCAATGGCACCTGAGGCCACCATCATGGACTGCACAAAAATCTGTAAAGTTAGATTTACTTGAAATTATGTAAAAATTACAACAAAGATGGCGTTTGTGACATTGTCATGCATGGTCGTGTCATCTTGCCATCCATCCATCCATCCATTTTCTTCCGCTTATCCGGGGCCGGGTCGCGGGGGCAGCAGTCTAAGCAAAGATGCCCAGACCTCCCTCCTGAGGCCACCATCATGGACTGCACAAAAATCTGTAAAGTTAGATTTACTTGAAATTATGTAAAAATTACAACAAAGATGGCGTTTGTGACATTGTCATGCATGGTCGTGTCATCTTGCATGTAAGCTAAATGAACAGTTTTTCTTGTCTCTCAGACTCTTTCTCTCCTAATATGTGTGCAAACACGTGTTAACATGCGCTTAACATCAGCTACCATCCACCAGTCTCACTTTTTTCCACATGGTTCTGCTCTCATCCATCACAACATGGCTCCCCTCGCTCAGTTTGTCAGCCATTTTAGAAGTCTTTCCTCCTCTTCTTCCACAACTATCTCTCACCCAGCTTCTGTGAAGTTCTGGTGCAGTACTGTTAAAAATCACAGAAAAGAAAAAAGACACCTGCTCTCTACTCCTCTTCACCATTCACGATTTGCACTTTTCCATCCTTTCTTCCCCATGCCTCAGTACCCTGTTGTCTCTTTTCATCCTCTCTTTTCCCCCCTCCTCTGGCACACAGCCTCTTTATAGCCCTCCTTGCCATGCTGCGATAATTAGTCAGCGCTAAAATAATACAGCCTCAAGAAACAAGGGCTGAGCAGAGGGCTTAGTTCTGCTGGGATGGAAGGAGAAGAGAAAGAGGAGGAAGGCTGGAGAGAGCTGCGGTGGGGGGGGCAAAGAGGTGACAGAGGGAGAGGAGACGTGTGTCAGCTGATTTCAAATGGCTGTCAGTGGATTGTTAGATGATGAAAGTGTCAGGAAGCAGAGTGAGTTTGTGTGTGTCAATTCTTTATCAGCCTGCTTTTTCCCTGTTTATAGCCAAGAGCGTGTGTGTGGCCCGATGTGGTTTGATGGCCTGTTGGCCCTGTGGTCATCATAGCCTCTGCTTTCCATCCTCTGTAACTGGAGCACATTGAGAGAGAGAGAGAGATTTGTAGGGCATGACAAACAAGGACGTCTGTGTGTGTATATGTGTGCTTTCACAGGTCTGTGTAGGTTCAGTATGCTGTGTACTGCTGTCTCAATGCATGATTGTGCATATGTGAAGCTAGTGCAAGACTTAGAACAATTTGTTCATTAATTGTGAACTAAAACTGTTTTGCTAATATGTTTACATTGTATTCCATTGAGTAAGGAAAATGTCAAATACTTGCCTTTTTTTGTTTTATGTCACAGTAAATTCAAAATGATTTTGGACGTTAAAAGGATAGAAACAGTCAACAAACTACTGAAGGCATCACATAGAATGCTGGAAAATTGTGATTCTTTTTAGACCTAATCAAGAGCTATGGAGTAAAATAGTAATAAAAATATGGAGTAAAACAAAGGTTAAATGAGTTTTATTCATCTGGAAACAAAAAAGTAGACTAATGGAACTTAATGTTCACATTAGCAAGATTTCCCATAGTGCAACTTGATTTATTCAGAAGGCAAAGATGTGTGCAAAATAGAGCAAACATGTCAGCCAGATCCAAATATGAAAAACCTATCCTGATCTTGAGCTGGATGTTAGCGTAGCAGGAGAGTCTGGCAGTTTGGGCAAAGTTTAACTTATGTGACATATAGAGTGTTCTTAGAACGTGTGTGTGCATAATAGTGAGTCTGAACACATATATATGCAACTCTATGTGCCTTTGAGTGCAGCTTCATTACACTGCATACACTTGCTTTAGTATGTACACATGCAGCCTGTGTTTATATGTATTTATATTCCATGGAAGACAGACAGCCCACAGGGCTGAGAGCAGTTCACTGCAGTTTCATTACTCTATGCTAATCACAGCCATCATTTCTCATTCACCGCTGAGCTTACTGGAGCCAAGCCACGTTCTAACTCCTCAGCTAGAGTTCAGACACGGGATAGCTTGGTGTATGAGACAGGGAGGTTTTTTTTTTAAGCTAGAACTGAAAATACTGTTGAGGCAAACTTCCCTTGACAGGGAGATCTGAGGAATTTCTTTTGTTGACGTTGACAAGGCGGTGGTTATACTGACAGCATGACCAACACAAAGTTTGCCAGTTCACCCTAGTTTGAATGCAGCGCAACTGCAGTTTAAAAAATAAAGCTTTATTTGATGTTGGATTATATATGACATATTATTTTCATAAACTACAGTTTCTCCAACACAAAAAAAATGTGGCAGAAGAGAATAAAAGTTAGTTATGACAAACAAAGGGGTAAAAGTCTACTTTTCTCTGCATAATGTCAGTCTTCTGCTTATGGGACTGAACATATCCTGCATTTGTGTTACAGACAAACCATACATCTTTATTTTTAACTTAAAGTTTATTTTTATTTCTTAAAAAAAAACCCCCCCCCCCCCCTCCCTGTGTTTTGCAGCTGGGACAACTTACATCTTCGGGCGAGGCGGAGCCCTCATCACATATACCTGGCCACCCAATGACCGGCCGAGCACACGGGCAGACCGGCTGGCAGTGGGCTTCAGCACGCAGCTGAAGGAGGCTGTTCTGGTCAGGGTAGAGAGTGCCAAGGGACTGGGAGATTACTTGGAGCTGCACATAGTAAGTTACCGTCTTGGGGATAATGAGGGGGAGTGAAATGATGGGGTAATGGAAAAGCACCCTAAGCTATACTCAGTCATATGAATCACTGAGGAAAACTCAGAAGGAAAGGGGGCCTGGGAAGGCAAGCAGGTGAAAAGTGGGGTATACCCCAATAGAAAGATGCCAGAGGAATGGTAGGGGACTTGGGGCTGTTTAGACTGGAGAATGAAAAAGAGGAAGGTGTGAATAGAGGAAGAAGCAGCAGACAGCAGTAAGGATGTATGTCCAAGAGGGAGCAGGGCTACCTGCACTGGCAGTATGATCTTAAGATTTCAAAAGGGTTGCTAGAGGGAGGAGGATGATTGATTCATTATGAGTGAAGTCAAAGAATAGAGGCATTTATTTTACAATAGTGTCCGGTTCTAAGGATGACATTGGAAACGAGGTGACACGCACAAAAAGCACTGAAATATTGGTGTTACATGCTGATAAAAGATGATTCTGTATATATATGGTTCATCGTTACCCTTTTGGAAACTTTAAACTTGTAGGTTAAGGTGACTAAATTTGTGGGGCTTTAATAATAATTCTGCTTTAGCTTAGTTTTTTGTTGTTTTGGTCTTAATTTCTTTGTTTGCTCCTTACCTGTATGACCAACTAACCACTTTTTTCAGCAATGTTGGTGCATTTCTAGAACTTGGGGATCAATTTAGAAGCTACATTGTGATGGGAATGATGGCTATGAAAATTAGACCCAGATTGTAATGAACAGAAATAATTTAGCTTCAACATACTATACTAAAACAGTGCTATGTACTTTTTCATATGTAATGGCTTACAGGTTATTCTGCTTTTGCTCACATTAGCACTCTCTCTCTCTTTTTTCTGATAAGGTATAGTTCAGACTGCTCCAAGTACGAAGGAATCATCTGTAAATGGCATGTAGATTTTTTTTTTTTTGTGTGTACTACAAGGGTAACTGAGACGAATCGGTGTGTGCAGAGTCCAGAAAATGACTAATCCCCTAGTTACTACCCTCATCTGTGCTTTTATTGCTTTCATATGTTAGGCTTAAAGGTCATTTAAACCACCTCTAATGACAACTTTAAATGGTGATTAAGGGACAGCAGGCATTTAAAAATGCACAGGATCTAATTGTTTCATTGACCCCTTTGCTTCTTTTACCCAATATTAGATTCAAAGCGTATATTCAATTTAGCGGGGGCCTTTCTGTTAAATACCGACCAGGCCCACACCTGATCCACTTACCATGTCGCTAAGGCCGCACAGTTGCAACAGTCGCAACAGTACAGTATTCAGGTTCACAGCTACTGTGTTTTACTGTACCAGCTGGTGGAAAAGATGCTGCAATGTCCAGCAGTTGCTTAAGAGACTATTTCTGGCATCAACACTTATCTACCCCTGGCCATCTGCACAACTGAATGTGTATGTGTGGGATCAGACTGCTCCAACATGCCGGTGACCCCAATTTGTTTGGGCTGTCCATACTTGGAAGTGACAGGAGCATAGTTGACCCTGGGTCACTGCTCATCCAGTGCTCTGTAAACCAAGAGGAATGGAGGGAGGAATGAACAGGAATGGAGAGGGGTTTGTGAAAATGTAGAGCAGGAGGGTTGATGGATAGAACAGATACAGTAGGTCAGAGCCAATTTGAATGCAGCAATAAATAGTGATAATGACTATAATGGTAGAAGATTGCAGTTGCAAATGTTTGGACACAGCAAGTGAGGCTGGAGTTGAAGTGGTAATATAGTAGAGTGCAGGTTCGACAACTTTGAACCTCAGTCAGTTCCTAGTTCTCGTGCTTTCCCCTATTCAAAGGATTCCTTGTGGAGAGTCTTATATTACAGTGGGCCGTGTAAATGTCAATAAAATATCAAAGAATATAGAGGGCCAGTATTTTCCTGTTTGCCTCTAGTGATGTCTTCCCATGCATAATGTTTCACTTTTAAGCCCTAACCCAAACACGGGATAAGCAACATTGTTGGCTTCATCAGTCCGTTAAAGCTACAGCTTTCAGTTATTCAGGCATGAGTCACTGTTACATTAGTGGTCCTCACAGTACATGCGTGATATTTGCTAGAGAAACAGATTGCAATGTTCGTAGCTGATTCTGATTAAGTCAGACCTGACAATTCAGATTTTCTTTCTAAGAACTGTAATTGACAGCATACACAAACATTTTTGTGAAAATTAAATGTCTCTCTTTCACTGTCACATTTTTTAACAAATCTGCATCTAAAAATCAAGTGCAATATTTGTACTTTTCCATATATAAACAGGTGCAACAGACAATAGAAATGTTACATCAGTCCTGCTGAGCACAGTTCTTTTTAAAGTGCGTGACGTTTGTATTTGCTGTGTTATACCGTGGGTTGAATACACTGTACATATACATGCATATCATATGTGCCAGTAATGTCCTCATTGTGCACATTTCAGTGTGTGCCGCTTTGTAATCGGAGTAAACCATCATGCTTGACCAGCAGAGAATCGGAAATCCCAGACTGATCAGCCTGTCACCAGTCATGGCCAGTCAAGCTAAAATCCCGCCGGTTCTGATCTCCAGCTGATCAATCAGTGCATCTTTAATATTTGCCACACACACACACACACAAAATTGTAATCTTGTGCGTCCCTTTCTGTTAATGTGACTGCATGCAAGTCAGACTTGTGCCATGTTGAAAGTGATACAGTACGTAAATATTACTAGATCCCACCTAGATAAATGGTTGTTGCAACTTTTACACAAAAGTGACCGGGGTGAGGGTGCTGATTCATTCAGACATGAATCCGAGATATTCAGATGCCTTCAGATTAATGGAAAAGGTGTAGTATGTCTGAAAGGGGCTTTATTTGCTCAGAATTTTAGATTTTCCTCTTTGATATTTCTGCAGTCACTCAGATACAGTGGAAGCAAGTTTAAATTTCTTAGTGGTCCTCTCAGCATTGAAAAGGATCATTTAAAAAATTCAGCAGTGACAACTCTTTTGAGAAACACACTCAAGATAATCGACAGACCTGACTGTGAGCATTTTTTACCAGAATTACTTTAAACTAAAGCAAACAGCCCCTATTACAACTGTTGTCGGTGTGTTCTGTGGATAATCCTGAGTAATGAGACAGTGCTTTTGGAATGAGATTCCACTGTTGAAATTTTAAACAGTTTTCATTCCTGTGAGTACCTTCATTGTATTGGGGTGTTTCAAGAAATTTCAGAGGCAGATACAGCAAAACCTGAGGAAATGAAACCACAACTATCTGCACAGCTGTTGTAGAGGTTGGCAAGATAATGTCTTTTTCTGTAATGTCAGTGAACCTATCTTTTAACTTGGATTCAGCTTTATGTAGAGTTTTATGTGAACCACAGTGCCTTTGTTTTTTTATTCTAACCTGAAGGAATGTCTCCTCGCTGTTTATCTGCACCCATCACACATGATCCTTCATCTGTCATTCTTTTACTTGCTTTTCTCTCAAGTGCATATTCTCTATATAACTTCTGTGTCTTTCATTTGCGCCCTCTGTCCCTCATGCCTGGTTCATTCTTTCTCTCCCTCTCTCGCACACAACAGTGCCTCAGACACACCAGTCTGGCTCCTCTGCTCTCATTGCAATTACATTTCATTTGCTGCCGTTTCTCCCAAGTCGCTCCCCTAAATGACTCTGTTCAGCCCATGGTAGGTGTTTGGGTCCTTTTAATTATGCCCGTCTCTGTTTGAGGGGAGAAGTACAGGCAAATTAGACACGAGAACCCATGAGCCGTGGCCCCATATCATCACACCTGATGGGGACCTCTCACAGACCCAATCAAACAACAAAATAGCTCCATGTTCAAACATTGACAGTGCTCCAGGCCCAGTATCTTGGACCTTATCTGTTATCTTTGGCTAGTGGCTCAAAAATAGCATTTCACTTTTCATTCCAGGTTAGTTTGAACTCCTAATAGGATTTCAAATTTTCTAATGGCTGAGCCCGTTTGAAAGTAGACATGCACAATTCTAAGAAATTATACAGTTTTGTTGTTGCCCTTTTCTGGATTTCTCTATCTTTTAAGGCATTTACAATTATTAGGCAAATAAGCAGTGTTAAGTTAATGACCTTCCTAAGCCTTTATCATGGAGTCAGCAGCCCACAGACGCCGATCACAACCATTTCCTGTCATTATATGACACATCACTGACACATCACATGCTTTTTCTGTCTATCAAACCACAATACTATCACTGGTGGGGCCGACTGATCACAACATGCCATCAGGATGTGATAGAGTATTATCCTTGATCGTCACAACCACCGGTCTCTTTATATAGCCTTCATCCCTTACCAAGTGTCTTCCTCTTTTCATGCCACTCCTCCCATCCATTTCTGCCCATTTACCTGACATCTTCTTGACATGCTGTCATCGGGCCCCAGGGTAGGAGAGCTAAAGTTAAGGTTGTGGAATAAGGTGCTTACACTGAATCTGCTGACTGTAGCTGCTCTAACAAGGACATACCATATCCTCACAAAACCTTGCTTCTTGCACTTTCCTAATTATTTACTGTGGGCGTGTCTGAAAGCAGTGCAATCCTCCTAGTTGACATTTTGAGAGTTCTAGTTGAAAAGGCTTTGAAATTCATTATCTGGAAAATGCGATAGAAATGAATCATCGCTGAGCAGATCAAACATGACTGATAGCACTGATATTGCTGTTGCAGAGCAGTATTGCTTCTATGTTTTTAAAGATTCTCTGTCAGCCATGTCAGGGAATATTAAGCAGCGGTTAACTGAAAACAGCTGGATTTGCTTTCTGGTAGTAAAATAATTCTGTGTTCATCCAACAGACTTCATCCGTTCTTACTGACTGCTGGGGAGGTCCTCTGTATTTAATCACCCAGAGAAGTTAAGTACCACAAAACTTCCCAAGAGTCAGTAGTACTAATTAAGTCTCTTGGATGAATGGTGAAACATTTTTAGGAATACTCGGTAAGTCCAGTCACCTTTTACTCAGTGGGGCA